TCACTTTAATTTTGTTGTTGTTCTTTCCATTTATGTTGTAGTCATTATGGTTTTTTTTGGTGAGGCAGTTGGGGTTAAGTGGCTTGCCCAGGGTCACCCAGCTAGTAAGTGTCAAGTGTCTGGTCTCCTGACTCCAGGGCCAGTGCACCATCTAGCTGCCCCTGTCATCATATATATTTAAAAATATTTTAATACCTTTTAGTTTTTGATCATTTACAGTTCCCAACATATCCTTTTCCCCTTCCTCTTTCAAAGAACGAAAATTGAAAAAGAGGAAAGAAAGTTCAGCGAAACTAACCAATACACTGAAAGAGCTAGATATTATATGCATTTCCATAGTCCCTCACTTCTGCAAACAAACTGTCTTATCATATTTCTTCTTTGAGGTGAAGCTTGATCATAATTGCATGGCATTCAGTTTTGATTGTTTTGTTGTTTCCGTTTACATCGATGTAGTCCTTGTGTATGTTGCTTACCTGGTTCTGCTTACTTTGTTTTGTAGCAGTTTTTATAAATCTTCCTGTGCTTCTCCCTGTACTTCATATTCATTTTTTCTTATGGTGTATTCCATTACATTCATGTGCTACAATTAATTTGTTTAGGTATTCCCTAATAAATGGGCATATGCTTTGTTTCTACTTTTTGTTACAATAAAAAACACTACTATTACTGTTTTTATATGTATATTTTTGATGTATACCTTTGTCTTTGATCTTCTTGGAGTATGGTATATATATCTTATATTAGGATTTCTGGGTTAAAGGATAAAGATGTTTTAGTTATTTTCTTAACAGAATTCTAAATTGCTTTCCAGAATGGTTAGACTAGCTCACAGCTTCTCCATGTATATCTGTGTGACTGTCTTCCTACAGCTCCTCCAAAATTGACTGTTTCTATCTTTTTGTGTGATTTGCTGTTTTTTGTTGCTGTTTGTTTTTACAATTTATTTTATTCATGCCTTTTATTTTTACCTCACAGTCATTTCTTATGCCTTCTTCAGATTGAACCCTCCCTTTTGATAAAGAAAAGCAAACAAATTTGATAGAGACATGTCTAAACAATATACAATACTGTGTCCTAGTAGTTCCCCACTTTTCTTCCATGGAGAAGATATATTTTATTGTCTCTTTTCTGCAAAAATGTTTTATTGATGGCTTTTATTTTTATAGGCTAGTCATTCCTTGATATACTCTTCCCCATTTAACTTTCCCTTGTAATAAAGAAAAACAGTTAAGCAAAACCAGTTGGCAAAATGATCACATCTGATAGCATGTGCAACATCCTGTTCTCTTTCTTCCCCTCTGCTCTCCTCCACCCCATTTTTCAGTTGAAAGAAGGAAAATATGTTTCATCATCTGTTTTCCTGAATTGAGATCGGTCATTATAGTTAATTTGACTCTAGCCTTTTAGTATTGTTTTAATTGATGCTATTTATTATAGTCATTGCGTGTGTGTATATGTATACACACATACATGTATTTATATAAATATATATTTTCCTAGTTCAGCTTCTTTCTGCATCAGTTCATATAAGTATTCCTGTATTTCTCTAAATTCCTCGTAGTCAGAGGTTTTATGTTACAATTGTGTTCAATTACTTTCATAGAATTATAGATTTAGAACTGGAAAGGACCTCAGATTCCATCTGTCTTAACCCTTCATTTTACAGATAAGGAAACTGAGGCCCAGAGAGATTAACTGATTTTTCCAACCAAGATCGCACATATAGTAAGTGGTGAGGCCAGGATTTGAACCAGGATTTTCAGATTCCAGAACCAACATTTTTCTGTTGTGCCATACTGTATTCATTTGCCATGATTTATTCAGCCATTCTCAGATTAATGAGTCTTCACTTTATTTCCAACTTTTTGCTACCATAAATGTGCTCCTGTGAATATTTTGGTATATATGGGATCTTCCTGTCTTTGTCCTCCTTGGGAATATACATATATATATATATATATATATATATATATATATATAGTAGCAAGATGCCTGGGTCAACAGTATGAACAATTAAGTGACTTTTCTCACATAATTTCCAACTAACTTACAGTGTATTAGTGTTTCTTTATTTCTATAACCCCTCCAACATTGACTCACTTGGTCTCTTTTCATCTTTGCCAATTTGCTATAACCTTCCCTCCTGTTTTACAAGGAAGATATGCTTGATTTAAGTCAGTAAAAACCTACAAATATCATATGTATTTTGACATACCTCCAGTAAGAATCAAGAGAATCTGATAGAGAAATATTCTTTATTGTAATGATAAATTAGATCAGATATTTGATCTTTATCTAAACATGCAAGAGTACAGATAAAAATAGTGTGACGATGACTGATATAAATAAATCAAAGAATAACTAAATAAATGGAGGGATACTCCTCATCATGACTATGGCAGATAAATATAAAAACATCAATACTTTTCTAACTAATCTTGAGATTTAATGTGACGCCAATCAAAATACTATTAGATTATTTAATAGAATTAGATTAAGGAGTAATAAAATCCATATATTAAAAAAGAGACAAAATATTACTATAAAAATGAAAACTGTTAAGGGGAACCAGCACTACCAGATCTTAAAATGTACTGTCAGATTATAATTGTAAAACCTCCGTGGAGGCAGCTAGGTGGCGCAGTGGATAGAGTACCAGCCCTGGAGTCAGGAGGACCCGAGTTCAAATATGACCTCAGACATGTAACACTCACTAGCTATGTGACTCTGGGCAAGTCACTTAACCCCAGTTGTCTCACAAAAAAACAAATACAACAACAACAACAACAAAAACTCTTTGGTACTGTTGTGATTGAAATTAGGTGAACTGAGGCATAAAGGTCTGAGCACATTCAGTTAGGATGTCAGATTCCACAGTAAAGGTAAGATCCCAAATAAGAGGAACAGCTCTCTTTTATAGTTTTGGGAAGTAAAGAAAATAGGAAGCTAGCATCATAGATGAAAGAAAATATGATTGGATGGAAATTAGGAATGAGGGCTAGCAACAACCCCCCTTCTTTCTTTGGGACTAAGAAATGTTCATTGTTTGAGTCCAGTTGCATCTGCAAGGACACAGATAAAAAACTAGACTTCTTTGGATAGCAAAACAGATATCCTTGAATGACAGTTTGATGGTGTAAAGATACTAGAGACCAGAATCCCTGGTATCTACTTGCATCTTTTAAGGGTAACAAATTTCCTTGACACAAGAATAGAACAATCATTAACAGGAAAACTGAATTTCTAAACTTAACTTGTTACAGGCCACCTAAATTTCTGAATTAAGTTCAGAGACAAAGAATCATGACTTAGGCAGTTACAGGACAAAATCAATTTACTGTAAACAGGATCAGTTAAAAAAGGACACACAATCAGTATTAAAATAGAATAAAGAAATTAATCAATGGAACATAAGAATTAGAATCCAGAATGGTTAGTGTTTGATAATCCCATGTTATAAAACACTAGGGAACGGAATCACTATTCAATAAAAACTGATAGAAAAACTATTGTAGATAACTGTATGACTTCTCAAACTAACTTCTTATTCTTTCCCTCCAAACCCATCCTTCTTTTGAATTTTCATATTTCTATCGAGTGCACCACTATCCTTCCAGTCACCCAGGTTCACATCCTTGGTATCATCCTTGATTCTTTATTCTCTGCCCCATATATCTAATTAGTTGCTAAATATTGTCATTACTGCCTTTGTAACATATCTCACGCCCATCTCCTCTCAGCTTACACAGCCACCACACTAGTGTAAGTCCTTATCATTTTTTGCTTGGACTACTGTATTAACCCGATTGGTGTCCTTACTTTTTAAGTTCTTCCCTCCTTAATCTGTCCTCCCACACAGCTGCCAAAATTACTTTCCTAAAGTATGATCATGTCACTTCCCTGCTCACTAAACTGCAGTGGCTTGTTGTTGCCTCCAGGATCCAACATAAACTCCTTCGTTTGACTTTTAAACTCCTTCCCATCCTGGCCCCAACTTGCTTTGCAATGCTATTATACACTCTCCAGACTAGCTAAACTGGTCTCAGTGATCCTCCTACATGGCATTCCCTGTCCTGTCTCTGCCTTTGCACAGGTGTCCCCTGTGTCAGGAATACGCACCTATCTCATCTTCTTAGGCTCTCTTATTTCCTTCAAAATTTTGCTCAGGGGTCAGCTTATATGAGAAGCCTTTTCTGATCTCTCCCAGGTCTTTGGGCCTTCCCCTCTCCCATAAATTTACCTTCTGCTTATTTTGTATATATTTCTCTAGATAGGTATGGGTATGTATGTTGTCTCGTATGACAGACTTATGTATATGTTTTCTCACCTGTCTCACTATAAGGGCCTTCGGGGCAGAGACTTTAATTTTTATCTTTATGTGCTTAGCGTAGTGCCTGACACTGAGTAGGCACTTAATAAGTGCTTGTTGATTGCTTGAACTACATCAGGGAGAGGGAAGAAGGGAAAGAATTTCAAACAGATCTGGAAGGGAACAAAAAATAAAATCCTTTTCTTGGCTTGTGTGTTATTTGTTAATTCATTTGGTCACTGCCTTCCTAAATGCTAGAGGTTTTCTGCACAGTGTTACTTGTTCTTTTTGATTGGTTGTTTTTGTTGCTCATTGTAAAATAGGTAACAATAAGAAGTTAATAGTCCATAAATCTCTCTTTAACATACACCAGTGGGTTGAAATTTATGAGACTCCCAACATTTTGTCTCCCTTTAACAAGTTTTGTCAGGAGTGTATCTGTGGGATCTTAAGCTATTAAAGAGGAAAGGTATGGGTTTATCTCTTTTTTTTTTTCTCATATCTGAAACCAAACCAACTTCTTTTCAATTCTCTCTACGTTTGAAAAACTACTTGCTGACCAAAAGGCACTTATTTGGTAGCTGATTATTTGAAAAATAATGGGAAGTGCCACGTTAAGATATACTTGTTGAGTCTAATCTTGATCTGTGAGCGTGGATTACTTACCACATTTATTTCCTTCTCACAGGTAGTGCCTTTCTTAGTGCCATTTTTCTGGCCTTAGCAACGTACCAGTCTTTGTATCCAATCACCTTGTTTGTACCAGGGCTGCTGTATCTTCTCCAGGTAAACTATTGAAAAGCAGTAGCTCAATTTAAGTATAATAATGTATGTACTTAAGTTCTTCTGGGAAAGTTTGCTGGTTACTCATGATTTCCCCAGGATTATGACCATATGATGTAGTATAAGGCCAATCTGAGTCAAGTGAAATCAGCAAGCATTTATTAAGAGATTCTTATGTGCCAGGCACTGTGCTGAGTGCTGGGAACACAGCCTTTGCTCTCAAGGAGCTCCCAGTCTGATGGTGGAGATGTCAGGCAAATAACTATGTACGTAAAAGACTGAGTATAAGGAAGGAGGACCAGACTCTCGATCTGAATTCAAGAACCTGCTCTATCACTTACTGGCTGGGTTATCTTAGGCAAATCACTTCCTGTATTCGAACCTTTTTTTCTTCATTAAACTTGTGCAACATGTCTTATAGGATTATGTGAAGAAAATGCTATGTAAACTGAAGTACACATAGAAATGTGGACTATTATAACATTATTGTTGTGTAACACTTGATTCTTTAGAGCACAGCATATGGGCCTGCAGGCCGCTTGTGGCCTGCTGAAACAGCCCGAGGCTGGTATGTTGTGCAGGCCTGTTTTACATCTTCTGCATTTTTTGTGGGCTGCTGGAAATCCTTTGGTGGGCTGAATGCTGTGTAGGCCTGCTTTAGAGTGTCTAGGAATTAAGGAGTGAGCACTCAAACTTGTGTAAATAAATTCTGGTAATAAACAGTGAGTGTATATATATATATGCGTGTGTGTGTATGTGTGTGTGTGTGTATATATATTATATATATATATATACACACACACACACATACACATACACATACATACACATACATATATTTATAATGATGATGGTTAAATAATAATCAGCTTTCTAAAATTTACTCAGTAAAACTTTAATCAGTTCATAGTCCCCAGTACTGTTTAGTCTGTCCTTTGATTCCTGGCAGCTCATCCTGTCCCTTCAGATTTGAAACATCTTAGTGTAGGAGATTCCACATGTGTGAGAAGACCACTTTGGGATTGAAACCTAAGCTTAGCCTCTTCAGGCCTCTACCCAAATCTGTACCTTTTTCTTCTCAAAATAAGGAAACAGAAAGACTGTTCAAACTTTGGGGGAAATAGCTTAGTATAGTGGATAGAACTCTAAATTGGGATTCAGCAGACCTTTGTGCTTCCAGCTCTGTTGCTGATTTGTTTTGTGGCCTTGGACAAATCATTTCCCCTTTCAGGTTCTTGCTGTCTGCCTCTGTAAAATAGGGAATGGAGGACATTAACTAGGTCATCATGCCAGGCCTTTTTAAGTCTAACATTTTTCACGTATTTAGGCCCAGGGTTAGGACAAGAAAATAATCCAGTCACACATCAAAGAACAAACTAGCCTGATAAATGGGGCAGTGAAGGAGAGAAGATTACTTGTGAAGTGCTGTATTACTTGTTAGATGCTGCTGTTATTATTTTGGTAGCCCCTGCCATTAGTCATAAAGTTCATTTGGAGTTTTAAGCCTCTTGAATGAAGTGACTTTTTGTAGTCTGTAACTGAGGAGAAAAGAAGTCCTTTAAAAATATTTATTTTTAAGAAATTAACAAAATCCATTTTCTCTCTCTTCTGTCTTTTCCTTCTTCCCTCAATTGTCCTTTTATAAGCATTCTATGTCATTGCCTTGGAAAATTAACTGTGCCTAAAGGAGGAAAATCCTTTGGAGGCTCAGCTTCCAAAGCTATAGGGGTAATGGTAGAGAAAGGGTTCGAAAATTTGGGTTGCCCAACTGGGTGATAAACAGAATCATAGAAAGTTAGAATTACAAGGTGCCTTAGAACCAAGAATGTCAGGATGCTGAATGTCAGACCTAGAAGGGACCTTAGACACCATCTATTCTAATTTTCCCCAAACTGATTTGGCCAAGAAACACTTCTGGCCTTGAATATATCTCACTAGAACCTAAAAGTCTGGTCTTTGGGGGTCTCTGGGCATGGATTATATGTGTTCCTTATCTCCCTCTTTAAATGAGGAGTCAGGAAAATTGGAGAAAAAATAGGAAACTTAGCCTTCTTATATATTAAAACAAATTGCTCTAAAAGAGCAATTTGTTATACACAGAAGAGTGTTTTTTTATTGATACATTTTGTTTTATAGGCATTTCCCAAGAAACATCCAAAGAAACTTCCCAATAAAGTATATTTTCCCAAAAGAATTCATGACACAACTGTCTAATAGAGTGATTAGGATGGATAATTTGTCACTTTTCACTTTTGTGGCTTGTTGATTGTTAACAAAAAGGAAGAATGTTGCACAGGCATTTTTTTATGATATACATGATTACATATCTAACATTTTGCAGGAAGAATATTTCTAATGTTTACATTTTCTCATGAAAACCCTGTTTATTCATGTGAAAAGCTAGCATCCCTGGATTCACAGTTTGTAGGGCTGATCCTACAACTAAGCTCGTTGTACTCATGAGAAAAGTTATGCCCAGAGAGACGAAATAACTTTCTAGGAAGTCACACAGCTAGTCATTGGCAAAGCCTGGACTAAAAAGACTCCGAGTTCAGTGTTCTCTCCCTTTTTGTCACACTGGGGTGATTCAGAGCTGTGAAATGAGAAGGTGTCTTGTCTTTTCCTTTTTTTTTTCCCCCAGTTTGACTTACTTGCTTGCTAGGCAGGGGCATCGCTTGATGATATAACTGGGACGTGAATTCTGGCTTTGCCTTCCCTGATTGTGTTCTTTGTGTTCTCTCCTAGCGGCAGTACATTCCTGTGAAACTGCAAAGCAAAGCCTTTTGGATTTTCATAGTACAATACACAGTGATGTACGTGGGAAGCCTGGTGGTTATCATCTGCCTCTCATTCTTCCTCCTCAGCTCCTGGGATTTCATTCATTCTGTTTATGGCTTCATGTAAGTTATTCCAGAGTCATTGAAGTGAATTGAATGCTAATTTGGCTTAAAGGGTCTAACAGGAATCACAGGAGACAGCCCATGTGAAGATACCTAACATATCTTTTATATAGCAATGCTAGAAGGCAGATAGTCTCTTAGGACATTCTTAGAGATCCCTGGACCTCTAATTGGCTTAACTAAGTACTAGGTATCAGTGTTACACTGAAATAATAACTAATAACTCAAATTTGTATAGCAGTTTATGGTTCCAAAACCCTTTATAAAATTGTTGCTCATTTTGCTTATCTGATCCTTGTTTGCTCATTTGATCTTTGTGAGGATAATAATGTAAATATTATTATTCCCATGTTACATGTGGGGAAACTGAGGCTCGTAGAGGTCAAGTGACTTACCTGTAGTTATACACAGTTATAGAGCCAAGACTGTAACCTAGGTATTCTGATTCCAAATCCTGTTCTTTTTCCACTACAGTGTGCTACCTCCTGTTTGGTTCAACTGATTCTCATATGACATAGACTTCCATCCCCTTACCATTCTGATTGTCCTCTTCTGGAGGCACACTAATTTTCTACTGTCCTTCTTAATGTGTGTGGTACCCAGAACTGAACTCCAGCACTCTAGATGTGATCTGACCAGGGTTTAATACATCTGGATTATCATCTAATCACTCGTTCTGGGCTTTCTTCCTGTCATAATCATGTTAGCTTTTTTTTTTTTGGCTGTTGTTACACTTTTAACTTGTATTAAGCTTGTGCTCCACTAAAATCCTTAAACTGTTCTATAACCTACCCCATACTGTAATTGAGTGATTTTTTTAATGGATTGCAAGACTTCAGATTTATCCCCGTTTAAATATCTCCTTGTGCTAGCCCATTGAGATCTTTTTGGGTCATTGATAAAAATGTTTAACGTCCCAGTGTCGAGGTCAGATTCCTGAAACACTCCACCAGGGATGTCTCTTCTGTTTGACCAAATTGAGGCATTTAACATTACCCTTTGGGTTTCTTCAAGCAGTTCCAAATTCACCAAACTCTTCTGTCGTATAGACTGTATCTCTCCATCTTGTCCACATGAATAATGTGACACTTTTATCTAACTCCTCTAGATCTCCAGTCTAGTTACCTTGTTAAAAAAAAATTCAAACTAACTAATAATCAAAAAGATTCATATTTAAACAACATAGGGGTATTATACCCCATACCCATCAAAATGACAAAAATAATCAGAACTAACAAAATCTAATTCTGATGCAGTTGTGCAATAGCAGGTATTCCTTGCTAGGAGAACTGACCATTAGTAGAACATTTTAGAAAAGCAATATAACTGTATATCAAAAGTTACAAAAATGACTCTATCCACTACCCAACAATTCTACTGTTAAGAATATTATCATAAGAGCATTTAAACTAAGAGCTACATATTTGAATGTATTTACAGAAGCATTACATGAATTTCATTATTGGAACTAGAAGCAGTATAACAACCTAAATGTCCAGCACTAGGATTATGGCTAAATCACTTGTTATATACAAATGTAATGTAGTGCTACAAGAGCAATTAAGTCTGACAAGTATAAAAAAAAAATAAAGATACCTAGCAGAATGATTATGGGGACAGCTAGGTGTCGCAGTGGATAGAGCACTGGCCCTGAAGTCTGGTGGACTTGAGTTCAAATCCAGCCTCAAACCAAACATTTCACACTTACTATCTGTGTGACCCTGGGCAAGTCACTTAACCCCAATTGCCTATTTAAAAAAAATGATTATGAAATAATGCAAAGCAAAAAAAAAAACCCAAAACCCAGAGGAACAAAGTATGTACTAATTATCACCATATAAATATTAAATGGAAACTAACAAAGGAAAGTGGTAAAGATTGAGAGGAATGACAATTTACTATATTTTATTCATTAAGTTCATTTACTTGAATGTAAATAATTGCAAAGCAAACTTGCTTGTTTGAAATTATGTTTAGCGTTAAGTTTATAGTTGTCACTTTTTTAAATTGTGGAAAATGGGAAGAGTCAGAAAAATGTTGTCCCAGTTTCCCCAAAAGGAAAAAAAAAGTTATCTCCAGATGATAAACTGACTGACTCTTGGAAAATTTTTAGACTACATTTATTAAAGGGATGGCTTGTGAGCATTTGGAAAGGTCAGTAGTATTTGCAAAGAACTAATATAGCTTCATCTAGAGAAAGCCATGCCAAACTCAGTTCATTTCTTATAGAACAATGGTATTCCATTACATTCATATACCATAACAATTTTTGGTTTTTGTTTTTAATTTTTAAAATTTTAACTTACTTTTAATGTATTTATTTTTAGTTTAGTTTTTAATATTCACTTTTATGAGATTTTGAGTTTGAAATTTTTCGTCCCTTTCTCCTTCCCCAAGACCCATACAATCTGAAATAAGCTATACATATATAATCATATTAAACATATTTCCACATTAGTCATGTTGTGAAAGAAGAATTAGAACAAAAGGGAAAGACCACGAGAAAGAAAAGGCAACAACAAAAAAAGAGAAAACGGTGTGCTTCGATCTGCTTTCTCTGGATGTGGATAGTCTTTTAGAATTGTCTTAGATCCTTGCATCGCTGAGAAGAGCTAAGTCTATCAAAGTTAGTCATTACACAATGCTGCTGTTACTGTGTGCAGTGTTCTCCTGGTTCTGCTCACGTCACTCAGCGTCAGTTCACGCAAGTCTTTCCAGGTTTTTCTGAAATCTGCCTGCTTATCATTTCTTATGGAACAATAGTATTTTATCACATTCATACTCCACAGCTTGTTCAGCCATTCCCCAATTGATGGGCATCCACTAAATTTCCAATTCTTTGCCACCACAAAAAGAGCTGCTATAAATATTTTTTGTACATGTGGGTTCTTTTCACTTTTTTATGATCTCTTTAGGATACACTCCTAGCTAGATCAAAGAATATGCACAGTTTTATAGGCCTTTGGGCATAGTTCCAAATTGTTCTCCAGAATGGTTGGATCAGTTCACAGCTCCACCAACAGTGCATTAGTGCCCCACATCCCCTCCAATATTTATCTGTTTCAGCGTTCATTGGTGTTGAATTCACCCTTTTCATTTTTGATACTGGCAATTTGATTTTCTTCTTTCTTTTTTTAAATCAAATTAATCAAAGGTTATCTATTTTATTGGTTTTTTCCTCATAAAATCAGCTCTTAGTTTTATTTATTAGTTCAATCGTTTTCTTACTTTCAATTTTATTAATCTCTTTTGAATATCATAATTTTAAATTTGGTGTTTAATTGGGGATTTTTAATTCTTTTTCTAGCTTTTTTAATTGCATGCCAAAATCATTGGTCTGTTCTTTCTCTATATTATTCATGTAAGCATTTAGAGGTAGTAAGTTTTCCCCTAAATACTGCTTTGGCTGCTTCCTATAAGTTTTGGTCTGTTGTCTTATTATTGTCATTCTCTTTGATGAAATTATTGATTGTCAAGGGGAATTCTGGAAAGATGGCAGAGTAGGTCAGTAAGTTCCAAGCTCTCCAGATTTCCTCCACAAACAAGACAAAATAGCACCTCAGGGTGAATGTAGAGCTGCAAAAATAAACAAGAGTTGGGACAGAGCAGTGGTCCTCCTGGGACCTGGAGAAGACCTCAGGACAGAGGTTCAACCTGAGTGAAGTACAGACACCTCCAGGCTATCTCTACTGAAACAACAAGCTCTGGGGACACTGGGTTGGGAGGTAGCATCATCCTCAGTCACAGAAATTCTCACCTCCCAGACAGTATGGAGCGTCAGACATCTGAGCAAGGGAAGATTGAAGGAACCTCTGCTGCCAAGGGCCTCCAGGCCCAGCTGTGCTGCTGACACGTGGTCCCTGGCTGTAGTGAGAAGGAACCAGCACATGCCAGGTGAGTACAGAAGCAATGGGGGCCAGGTTGCTGCTGGCTGTGGGAACTTACAGGAGAGCTGATTTCTTGGTTTCATTTCCAGGCCAGCCGAAGATCACAGCCCCTGGAGAGTCCTCAGGAAGCAACAACATTTCCAGTGTAGTGTGCCTGGGGGCTGTAGCGGTGGCTTGGATGGGCAAAGGAGTGCTGAGGTTGGGCCCTGGACAAAAACTCAAAAAATAACAGTAAGAAGGACCTGAGGCCAGAGGGACCATACCTCGCACTCCAGTATTAGAGATGATTGTAATAACAGGCTGCTAAAAGTAAAAACAAAATAAAAATGAGCAGGCAAAAGAGAAAGAACCCAACCATAAAAAGCTACTATGGGAATGGAGAAGTCTGGGGTTCGTTTTCAGAAGAGGGTATTGAAGTCTCTCCTACCCCAAAAAGTAATGTCAAATGGTCAGTGCCCAAAAAGGGTTCTTGGAAGAACTTGAAAAGGACTTTAAAAATCAAATAAGAGAGAGTGAGGAAAAATTAGGGAAAAAATAACAATCCAAGAAAACCAAGAAAATTATGAAAAGAAAGTCAACCAACTGGAAGAGGAGGTCCCGAATCTTAAGGAAGAAAACAACTCCTTGAAAACTAGAATTGGGCAAGAGGAAGTGAATGACTTTATAAGATGCCAAGAAATAGTAAAACAAAATAAAAAGAATGAGAAAGTAGAAGAGAATGTAAAACATCTCATAAGAAAAGCAACTGATCTGAAGAACAGATCAAGGAGAGAAAACATAAGGATAATTGGACTACATGAAAGCTACAATCAAAAAAAGAATCTTGATACAATAATATAAGAAATAATTAAGGAAAACTGTCCTGAAGTTTTAGAACAGGAGAGGAAAGCAGAAATACAAAAAATCCACTGATCACTATCTGAAAAAGATCCCAGGATGAAAACCTACAGGAATGTCATAGTCAAATTCCAAAACCACCAGGATAAGTTGAAAATATTACAAACAACAAGGAAAAAAACAATCCAAATATTGTGGAGACAAAATTAGAATTACACAAGATTTAGCAGCTGCTACACTAAAAGATTGCGGGTCTTAGAACACTATATATTGAAG